AGATACAAACAATCAAAACTCATACAAGAAGAAAAGGTCTGAATAGGCCTATAACCATTGAAGAAATTATTTAAATTTATTTGATAATAATTTCATAAATTATTAAATAAAAATAATTATAACCTTACAAAAATGCAATTCAGCTCTAGATGATTTCACTGATGAATTCTACCAAACATTTAGGGAAGAAATATCAGTTCTCTGTAGTCTCTTCCAGAAAATAACCAAAAGACTGTGAGACCACAATTACCCTAATACCAAATCCAGATAAAGACATTGCAAGAAAGGGAAACAATAGATCAATATCACTCGTGAACATAGACGTAAATACCTTCAACAATGTATTAGCAAAATGAGGCCAACGATGTATAAAAATAATTATATACCACAACCAAGTGGGATTTACTTTATAGAGATTCAAGGCTGGTTCAATGTAATGTAATCCACCATGTCAATAACCTAAGGGAAAAAAATGTTCATCTAACATACTTATGAGAAACTGGATGCTTTTCCCCTAACTTCCCCTTAAGAACAAGGAACAAGTTTCTCTCTCACAACTTATATTTAGTTTAATATAGATATAGATAGTTACATATGGAATTATTGACTGATATGTATACATAAAAATGGGTTAGTATACACACATAGATTTCCTTGCTTAGTCAGCTGAGAGGGCCTAAAAGCATGACTCCTACAGTAGCAATGAGTACACCTAGCACCAAGATCTTGGTTTCTAATACCATTCTCCCCTAAAAGGAGCCAGGGCTCTTTGGAGAAATGACTTATTTCAGGACTGGGGCAGAAAACATGCAAGGAGAGCCTGGAGCATTTGTTAGTAACAGAAAGTGCTTGAAAAACAAAAAATGCACATGGTGGGGCGGGGGTGGGGTGGCGTGCTAGTGGAAAGGAATCCAGGAAGCAACTGAAAGAGCTCCAGTGGCCAAAGCTAGAACCATCTGAACAACAAAAATAGTAATTCTGGCTTATAAACCCAAGTATAAAATAAATATTCTTTGAGTCTGTATTGATGTAAATAAATGATTGTGAGTGAGTGAAAAAACAAATCTCCCATGCAGAAAATTCCAAAAAAATTCTCCCCTAAAGGCGGTGGATTGTAAATCCCTATTTGTTAAGTGTGGGACACATATAAGTGTGGGACTTCTTCCCAAAGAGTACAATATTGAAAATGGGAAAAGGGGCAGCTTTACAGTGCAGAAACCTGGCAAATGCTACCTCCACCAGGTGCTCAAGGTCAACATCAACCCGTAGTAAGTCATGTTGATAGTGACATGGTGAAAATGGTGTGTTACTTCAATGGTGTTCCTCCAGAGAAACCCATAACCCCAGTGCAGTCATGAGAAAAACATCAGACAAGTCCCAGCAGAGGGAAATTTTACAAAGCACCTAACTAGTACGCCTCAAAATTGTTAAGGTCATCACAATAAGGACAGTCTAAGAAACTGTCACATCCAAGAGGAGCCTGTGGAGACATGACAAATGTAGTATAGTATCCTGAATAAGATTGGATTCTGAGTAAAACTGAAGAAATCTCAACTATGGATTTTGGTTAATAATAATATAATATTGATTTATTAATTGTAACAAATGTACCATACCAATATACGTTGTGAATAATGGGGGAAACTGGGTATGAGATCTATGGATACTCTCTATTATCTTCACAATATTTCTGTAGATCTACATCTGTTCTAAAATTAAAAGTTTATTTAAAAGTAAATAAATAAAACAATATTATCTTCTGAGCCACCTGCCCAGCTTTGATAATGGGCCTGGAATGAAACCCCAAACTGTCTTTCTTTCCCCATTAGTCATTTAAAAGTGGAAAATAGTTTGCTTTTTCTTGGTAGTTGTGGCCAGTCATTCATCCATGCATCCATCTAAAATTTATGAGCTTCTTATGTGTGTCATACTCCAGGGACAGGCACTAGAAAGATTAGCATTTGCCCTCAGATGTGCTTATAATACAGTCAAAAAAGGGGGACAGATAGACAAACAATTTGCAGGATACTATCACTACTCCTGTTTCTACCGTGGTAGGTGTTCTGCTCTGCTCCTCCTAGAAGGAAGGAGAGCCTCCTTATCCTGCCTCCAAACTCTGCCCAGGGTGGTTGTCTCTTGGTTAACTTTAGATGGTATGCTTTTTAAATGACCATCTTTTTTAGACCTCCAAATGTGGTCTCTGTCTTTTATATCAATAACCTTATTTCTAAGATGCTTAAAAGACTCCAGATGATAATCTAGTGTTATATCTAAAAGCCTTCCAGTCAATCCAAACACAGTGTCACACATACTAGAAAACACATCCTGGTCTCATTGTGGATTCTTTTGGGATGTTCCCCTCACCTTCTTACATCTATTTGGAGGCTTTAGTCTGTTCTTTTTGCTTGTCTTCTGATGTTGTAGGAGCCAGGTTCTGTAGTCAGTCAGTCGTTCATTTATTAGTCAGCTCAGCACATGCCCACTTCAGGGCTTTTGCACTTGCTCTTTCCCTGCTTATGAGGCTCTTTTCACAGAATCCCCGTATTCACCTCTGAATTTCACTTCTCAGAGATGCCTTTATGAGGACTCTATTTAAGTATACCTGTCTCCCCCCAAATCTGTCATTCTCATAACTTTGCTTATTTATTTTATAGTGTTTATCTCCACCTGGCCTTTGTTATATATTTGTTTGTTTATTGTCTTTCTCTTCTAGAAATTAACAGAAGGGCAGGAACTTTGTCTATTTTGTTTCGTGGTTTATTCCTAGCATCTAGAACATAGTAAGCATGTAGTAAATATTTGTTGAATGAATGCATGCATGACAATTATGTCTCCATTTCTCCTGAATGGACCAACCTACAAACCCAAAGAAAAAAGGCTTCCAGTGACCTGTTCTGATATGTCATAATTCCTGTGGTATCTCTACAGACTGCAACCCTACCCAGGCCTTCTCTCCATTCCTGTTTTTATAAGACTTGACAGTTTTCAGAGTACTTTCACATAGATTGTCTCTTTTGATTCCTTGAATAACACTATGAAGCCAGTAAGAATTTTCAGCTCCATTTTACAAATGAGAGAGATTAAGAGATTGAATGTACAAGGTGAATTCCAGAGCTAGAGTTTGCAACCAGACCTGCTGACGTCTAGCGCGTCCAGTGATTACCCAGGATTATGTTTCATTCCACTTGCACGTAGAATGTATATGGTGTTGAGAGCGAGGGTTTGGATGACTGTTTTTATATTTTTCTCGGTGCTTTACACACAGTGCACTTACTAAAGGTGTATCAATTTGAACCTTTCAACCCACCAATTAATTGTGGATACATCTTTTTCCATTGAAACTAGAGGAGAAAGTTTTGGCCACTTTTCCCCTCCACTTCCAACAACCAGTTCTTTGGTAGACCTTGAGAGAATCTCAGAGGTTTGCCTTTCCTATGGATCCAGAGAGTCAGTGGGCTGGGGCCGTAAGTTTGCACAGGAATCATCTAAGAACCTTGCTGATATTCAGATTCAGATTCAGTTGGTCTGTGTAGGGCCTGAGAAGACTGCATTTTTAACAATCTCCCTGGAGGTACCCGTGCTGCTGATCTGTGGTTCACAGTTTGAGTATTTTGGGAATAGGTAACCACGTGAAAGACCGCATTTCTTTTTGGCTATCTGACTGTGACCTAGGTAAGTTTCTTGGAGACACTGTAGCATATTGTGTCAGCTATGTTACTTTGGTTAAATTTCTACCTCCTCTGCTTACTACGCAACCTCAAGCAAGTTATTTAACCTTTTGTGCCTCAATTTCCTCTTTAAAAATGGGGATCATGTGCCCTGCCCATGTGGCTCAGTGGATTAAGCGTTGTCCCATGGACTGAGGGGTCCCTGTTCGATTCCCAGTCAGGGCATATGCCCAGGTTTCAGGTTCAGTCCCCAGTGGGGGGCGTGCAGGAAACAGCCAATCAATGTTTCTCTCTCACGTCGATGTTTCTATCTCTCTCCCTTCCTCTCTCTCTAAAAACAATAAAATAAAAATGGAGGTCACTTGAGTGCTTCACTTACACAGCTGTCGTGAGACTGACTGGGTCGGCGCTTTCAGCGAACCGAGAGGAGTGCATCTTGACTGCTGTTATCCTTGCTGTGTCTCCTTGTGTTGTTCTGTTAAAACACATCAACAGATAGAAGATATATTTGAGAGCGAGGAAGTCATTTAAAATATTTGCAAGTTAGGAACTAGCAGGGTGTCTTCTGTGAAATCCTAATCTGATCAGAAGACAGTACATGTTAACAAACAACACGGTGGACATCAGCTAATGGTGATTTGTCTTGCGTTGGACGCGTACTTTCTACCACGAGTGAGGAAGAGAGGGAAATGAGTTGGCACTCCAGTTCTTTTTTTTTTTTTTTTTTTTTTTTTTTTTTTTTTTTTATCCTCACCCGAGGACATTTTTCCATTTTTTGTTCAGATAGAGTGGGAGAGAGAGAGAGAGAGAAACATCGACGTGAAGGGACACATCGAGTGGCTGCCACCGCACGACCAACCAGGGCCGGGGACAAACTGCAACCGAAGTACGTGCCCTTAGCGGGAACCGAACCCGGGTCTCTCCGGACCGCAGGCCGATGCTCTAACCGCTGGGCCAAACCGGCCCGGGCGGCACTCCAGTTCTGTAGTAAAGTGTTACATGATGTTAAGCACGGGGAATAAAATTGTTCCACTCATCTCAGTTATGCATTAAATAAACCAACTTGATTTTAATTGGTGATGTGGAAATATAGAGGCAAGAGCCCCAGGGGTGTGTGGGAATCCATTTGGTGCTTAATTTAATTCATTTTATAATAAGGAGAAGAAAAAGTATGGAAAGAATTATTTTAAAGAGATAATTTTTTTTTAGTCTTTCCACTAATTCATGTGTTCCTCAGGAAAAAAATGTACACAACTCATTTCTTCCACTGACTCAAAAGTGTAAAAAATAAGTTTTAAGATTAACATACAGTGTTTCTTCCTTTTGTTTTAGGATCGGATTTCATTAAGACTTCTACTGGAAAAGAAACAGTAAATGCCACCTTCCCGGTAGCTATAGTAATGCTACGGGCCATTAGAGATTACTTCTGGAAAACTGGAAACAAGGTACGTTATCAGCAAATCCTCCTTCAGAGTAAAGATAATGTTATTTATAACACTAGTTACAGCCACGATAACTGTCTTCATATGCAGAAGGTGTGAATGTGTTGCCCTTATTAAGATAAATGTTTAATTTACTTTTCATTACAAAAGAACACATTCATGGAGCAAAATGTGTGATGAGCACAAAGTGAGTGTGAGTGTGGGAGTAAGTGTGTGTGATCAAGATGTAAACTTACTTTGTGTCCTTTTCTTAACCGAAGACAATTTTATCACTGACAAGAAATTCCTAAATGGATTCTTTAACGAACTAATTCTGCTGCAACACAGAGGCTTCCTGGTAAGGCGTTGGCCAGCAAAAACAGGTTAATGCAGAAATTAAACTTCCTTGAGGAATGGAAAGAATTGCAGAGTAACATTTATTGAATGATAAGCTGTGGTGGTGATATGAAAAGTATGCAATATAATGGGAAATAATCTTTTCCTGTCATTATTGAAGGACACACATAAATTGGTTTTTCTGTTGGGAAACCCCCGGTCCAGAAAAACTTATTACTTTTAATAATATGAGGTGAAGAGAAAATTCTTGAGGAGATGAACTTATTAAACAAAATAATGAAATGCTGTGAAACAGCAGGGGAAAGGTAGCTAGACGTTATATAGCTCTTGAATTAAATATCCATTTTTGCGTTTTATGACTGTTAGATGTGCTCTTTGGAAGACTGTTAAGCTGAGGAGGGTATATGCTGGCTTTTGTCAGCTTTTCGAAAATAATACATATTTTTTTGAAACATGAAGTTAAAAGGGAAAATGCGTATGAGGTGTTTTTTAAAATGAGTTTGCATTTTCCTTTTTACTTTAAGTTGCTTGTTTAGTTGCAAATTATCTCAAAGGATTTTTTTTTTACATCATTGGAGAGAAAGGTGATTTTTTTTTAAAATGAGACTTTTCCTTCCTCAGAAGACATCTTTTAAAACCAATCTCTTGATTTCTGCAGAGTAGAACCCCCCTAAAAGATCTTTCATCCTTTGCCAACTGGATGTGATGACTTTATATATGATTGTAGCTTTCATTTATTTTGGAATCGGAGACCTTTTTTTTTTAATTTTATTTATTTTTTATTGATTTTAGAGAGAGAGGAAGGGAGAGGGGGAGAGAGATAGAAACATCGATGAGAGAGAACATTGATTGGCCACCTCCTGCATGCCCCCCACTGGAGATCAGGCCCACAACCTGGGCATGTGCCCTGACCAGGAATCGAACTGGAGACCTTTCAGTGTATGGGTCAGTGCTCAACCACTGAGCCACACCAGCCGGGCAGAATCGGAGACCTTTTTGAGAGTGTGCTAGGTCTGAGAGGAAACAAACTCCTTCCAGAATTTTCTCCTTCAGAATAACTTCATATCTTAAAAATGTACAGATAGGTTAAGTACCTATTGTAACCACAATATGAAAGTTGACCCAACTTGAATAACCTCTATTTGATAGCCTTTCTACAGTGATCCAAATTTTCAAAAAAATTAGGCAAAGCTGTGTGAGAGAAATCTCTCTTTGCTCCGCCGCCCCCCAGTTAAGTAAGTGGGCCCACCACTTACTAGACCAGCACTTCTCGTTCACGGCCCAGGAACATCCGAATCGGTGGGAAGCTTCTTCCTTGTAGGGTCCTGGGCCCTCCTGCCTGCAGTTCTGTAGCAGGGGCAGTCCTCGGGCGTGTCCACATTTCAGAAGCTCCACAGTTGGAATGAAAACTCTCCATTGGGAACGCAATCCTGTTTTTATTTATTAGTTTAATTTTTTAAAAAAATATGGAACGCTTCACGATTTGCGTGTCATCCTGCGCAGGGGCCATCTAATCTTCTCTGTATCGTTCCAGTTTTAGTCTATGTGCTGCCAAAGCGAGCACGCAGGCCTGTTTCAGTCTCAACAATCATCCATTGAGTCATGAACATGTACCATGTTAACCTACGTCTATGTCAGGGACACAAAAATGAACACGTCTCTCCCCGGGAGATCCCTTAGACAACAAGCAAAGAATTTCAGTAAATGTTTTGAATGCTCTGTGTTCTAGACCAGAGTAACAAGCGAGGGACATTTTGCTGCCTTTCAACACTTTCTTTTTGAATTGTGTTGACCCTTTCCTCAGCTAGTAAACAAAGTTTGCCCCAGTTTCACCAAGATACCGAGAGGCACAAGTCAAATTGTGTTTATTTCCATCACATGTATTTCACACAGTGAAGCGTTGTCTGTGTAGCTCGCAAACCACGTGCCTCCTTTCAGGTTGACAAGTTGCCTGGGTAGCGCGTAGGCTTTAAAGTTTCTACATCATTGATGTAAGGGGTGTTTTAAAATGTGATCAGCTGCCTTCCAGACCATGATTAGCACCACTCCTGAGAAGCAGAGGTTTAATATTTTATAACTGATTTCATTGCAGATTTATGTTTTCCATATTCTCTGCCTTGAAAAAAAGTACAGACTTAGGCTAGAACCTGCCTTTGGAAGCATTGCCGAACAGACTTGCTGACACAACTGAATTATATAGAAAAATCTATGATGCGGCGCTGCCTAATTGATAGAAGTGCCCCTGTGATTAACATGTATGCTAGTGTCAGCTAATTGATTTCTTTTGGCCTCTTACCAGTAAATAACCTCATCCCACTTATCTGCCCCCCTCTCGCCAGCTCCCCTCACTCTTACAGTCACTTGGGTTCCAGAGCAATAGGCATATTGGGGTTAGATGTGGTTAGATGTGGTTAGATTCTCCACACAGCTGCTGCTTCACCGTGTGTCGTTGCGTGATTGAGGCAGGGGAACCAGCTGGGGGACCTTTACTGCTCTTCCTCGTGAGAACAGATGGGGGTCTAAAACAGTGAAAGTGAGAGTAGACAGGTAAGTGTGCACAGGCATAGAGCAGTGAAGAGTTAGGATTGGTAGGGCTTGGCTAGGGATCGATTGGGTGTGGTGAAGAAATGGTGGAGCCCAGGTTAGCTATAGGTTCCTAGCTTAGGCTGATAATGGGGCAATTGATTATTGTCTCCCTTCTCTAGTTTTCTGTTAGCAGTCACCCCTGCTGGTGCTGCCGATGAAACCAACAGCTCTGAGTGGTCGTGTGTGAGCTTTAGTGCTTGGGCCATGGGGTGTTTCCTTGGTTGCTCCCATCCGTAGTCTCTTCCCTACTGCATAGTCAAGTTCTTGAGACAAGGGAATCCAGAGAAGTAGGCTTTACTGTGTGTGGAACACATTTATCCTTTCTAATGGACTCAGGGCCGCCTTTTGTAAACATCAGTTATTGGCTGAATTGTGCTGTTTTATGGTCACCTGCAAAAACTACTGAAGCGTGAAGGGCCCCTACACTGTGTTTTTCTACTGTGCTTAGTTAACCCGTCTGGCTGCGCTGTATACAATTCTGTCTACTTACAGCTTAGGGGAGGAAAGTCCTGCAGTTAAGCTCATTAAAACAACTGTCAACTCTCCTTGCTGATTGCTGCCAGTTTGGTTAGTGTGACCTCGCTGGTTTGCGCCTCTTGGTTTAAATACACGTATGTATCTTTTGCACCCCGAGAAGGGCTGAAAGGTGTCTATCCAGGCTTACTTGTAGAAATGTAGAATGAATGGGCTTCCGTGATCTATTTTTCTATTTTTGACATTTTTGTGTTTATCCCAGGTTCACAGCTCTCATCTAGATGGTTGGGGTTTATGACTTTCCAATAAGTGAAATGTTAATGAGGGCTATTAACTCTCATTAGTGTCTCCTCAGAAGCAGTGACATTCTTATCATTAGTCTTGGAAACGTCATTTTGTAGTGTGAGTGGGCGTGAGTCGGTGATCCGAGCCCTTTTGCTGGGTGAACTGAAACAGACTAAGGAAAGAGAGCGAGAGGAACGGGACCTGTGTTAACGCAGTACCATTTTTAGAGAGGACTCCTGTAACCGGGCACCTTGTCGTCTTCCCCGCCTTCCCTTGCAGGTAGGCTTCAAGCCAGCAGGAGGCATCCGCAGTGCGAAGGATTCCCTGGCCTGGCTCTCTCTCGTCAAGGAGGAGCTGGGAGACGAGTGGCTGACGCCGGGCCTCTTTCGGATAGGCGCCAGCACGCTGCTCTCGGACATCGAGAGGCAGGTAATAACCCGCTGTCCTCCAACAAACCCACAGGTGTTTTGGAGAAAGAAATGAAGTCACCTCTAGGGCTGTGTGATCTAGAGATGCAGACTCATCTGACTTACGTCCTCCCACCCAAACCTCTGCCTTCTTCCGAGCAAACCTGCCCCTGAAGTAGGTGGGATGGAGATGTCGCTGAAGTGCATAGGAATGGGGCTTTATAATGAAGTGTTAATTATTATATAAAGTATAATTATGCATTCGTTTGTGTGATACTATAATAATGACTAATTAACGAAACTGCTTTCCCCACAGATTTATCATCACGTGACTGGGAGATATGCAGCTTATCACGACCTTCCGATGTGTTAAATCCACAACGAATTCCAGAAGAGTTTTACAACGTTTAAAAATCATTTTTCTACATGATTACCGAAATTTATTAATAAATGGCAGAATAGGTAACTGACTCTTTTTCCTTAAAATTTCCATTGAATTTAATTCAAAGAATGAAAGAAAAATACCAACCAATCCACACATGCTCCTATTCCAGGCCTATCTGAAATGCTCTTAATTACGAGTTCTGCACTGTTCGTTTTGTGAGGGTTTTCTCTTAAAAACCCTGAGTACAATGTTAATGATAACTTTGACAAAATTAAATTCCAAGGGAAAAGAAAAAGGGTTAAACTGCCCAAGACACGTGCTCTAGCTAAAGAAACGACAGTGTCCCTGACCTGCTGCTGGCCTCTGGCGACTTTGGGGGCCACGACTCGGCGCTAATTTCCTGCGGTGGAAACTCATCTTTAATTTTTTCCAGAGATATGCTCTTTTATTAATTGTTTTGTTAATGAAATGTCTGTCATTATTATATGCAACTATGGATATCGCTGAACTTTTTAAATAAAAACATCCCTGGAATTGTTTTTTAACTTGAAATTGTCACAGTACATACTGAAAAACGATTAATCCATGAAACATATAAAGAGCTTCTGTCAGGGACTTACTGAATCCTGAATCTCTCCGTTAGAGTCCTTGGGTACTTAGATAAAGCACCCCCAGCCCATTATTAATGAATACAACTTACGTTTACATTCTGAGACTTTTAAGATTTTCTGGTATAGCAGATAGGGGTAAAATAGCAGACACTGACATAGCTCTTAATAGGTGCTAAACTCTTTATATACAAATTTATCCAATCCTTGCTTAATCTCTATAACAGTTATATAAGTACATTAAGGTTTTAAATCTTTACAACAATGCATATTATAATCCTTTTATACAGATGAGGGACTGAGGCACAGAGAGCTCAAGTAACTAACAAAAGGTCACAGAGCTTAAACTTAGCAGTCAAGAACCAAGCCCAGCAGACAGTGTGTGCTTGGGTGTGTGCCTGTCCCTCAGCACACACAGGCACACAAACAGCTCCCTGTGAGCTTGTGGAACGGCAGCCTCCCCTGTAGTCTGCTGGCTCCTTGACCCGCTGACATCTCTCCCAACTTAACACCTCCACCTGTTTGCTTGCTAGTACCCTTACCACATTATAGAACTTGTTTTTTCTTTTCTTTTTGTATTTCAAATAATTTACTTTGATACTGTTAATTAGTATTTCTTTTTGATCCGAAGCTGCATGAGGAAACGGATTGCATTTCCAAATCGACATTTACTTAGTTCCTACTATAAAGCAGGTACTCTGGAGGGCACAGTGTGGAGATGCTGCAGGGCATTCGCTCTCTTTTCTTTTTTCATCACCGTTTATCCCCGCTAGGCCCCTATTTTTTCTTAAATGGTGATTTTTATGGAGTCTTTTCCTGCCTGAATAAATCTCCACCTACTCATTAATGAGACACCCTGGACCGGGAATCAGCTGTAGTTGCGTCTCTCACCTGCCGAATTCTGGCCCAGCCTCTTCCTCTTTCCGGCGCTGTGACCTTGGTCCAGTCAGTTCACGTCTCTGGACCTCAGCTTTTTTTCATCTGTAAAATAAAAGGATTGAGGCAGGTGATATCAAGGTGCTTTCGGCCCTAAAAATTTTAATACCCTAAGGATAATTATAACAAATCCAAGAAAGTGTTTTATGGCTATAAAGATAAAAAGTTTATTACAGCACTCGGAATTAGAATTTGCCCGTCAGGAGTCAGGCAAGTCTCTCAAAGCATCTCTAACTGTAAATGAAATGACTGAAGTAAGAACAGAAAGTAGTCCTGCTTTCTTCTGAGCAGAGAGCTGGCTTTCGGGTGTGGCCATTGGCTCTCAATGCCACCTCCACCTTCAGAACATGCTGGCCCAGGTGCCCACCAGCACAGTGGTCAGTCACCTTTGGAGAAGAAACTCTGCAAAAAATAATTACATTCTATCACCTTTGAAGCTATTCCAATTTCACAGGGGTTTCTGTTTTCCTCCCATTAAACCCAGCTGGTCATTTTGGTTGATCAAGTGAACAGGCATCATTATCTTCAATTCTAATTTATATGAGACATCCACAGAAATTGACCTCTGCGGACAATTACAGATTCACATAGGAAATTAAGACTGGTGAGTCCCTCAAACCTATTAGAGGCTGATGAGCATGCCCTGATCTAAAGGTAAATAATCTTGGATTTTGGGGGACATTTTATTCCAAGGACTATTGGCCTCTTCATCAGGAATGTCTGCACTTTACCTGCCTCTTGAAATCAAATATAGAGGACTTTAAAAGGAAGACCTCAGTTCATGTTGATTGCTATGAAAACATAAGAGGAAGAGGTCATATCTGAGGTGACTGATTTACTGCAAGCAGATTTCTCTACTTGAGAACACAGGAGGCAGATACTTTATACAATCAGAAAATGAGTTTTGCTCTGTTGTGCTGAAAGCTAAGTTCATAAAGGCAACCTGCCCCCAAATTGTCACAATTGTTCAACAAAGCATATTAGGTTTTAAAGTTCTTTTAAAACAACCAATCATAAAGTTTAGGGACTTAAAGTGACTTTAGGGAATAGCTCATTCTCCCCATCATATTTTTACATGAGAAGAGAAACTCAAAGTGGGAAGTCACTTGTGCAAGGTCCCATAAAAAGAGCTGAGTCCGGCCGGTGTGGCTCTGGTTGAGCGTCGACCCATGCACCAAGAGGTCACCAGTTCAATTCCCGGTCAGGACATATGCCCAGGTTGTGGTGTCCTCTCTCATCGATGTTTCTATCTCTCCCTTTCACTTCCTCTCTCTCTCAAATCAATAAAGGAAAAAATAAAATAAAGTTCTAAAAAAAGAAGTCAGAGTGGAGCCTAGAAACTAGGTCCACATCATGCCATGAAATATTCTACAAGACATAGCCAGGACTTTGGAATAGAAAATTTCTTGATTGTTTATAAATCCTGCCATACCTAATATATTTGTCCGCATGTGAACTTCAGACTCTCAAAAGACTCACTTTTGCCTCTAGGGGTCTTCTGAATGGTGTTTTGGAAGAGATCAAACATCGAAATCTAGTCCAAGTGATAGTGTGGTTAATTTTATCTGTTAGACGTTTAGAACTTTTCACCTCAAGACTGAATTTTTTTTTTTTTTTTTTTTTTATCCTCACCCGAGGATATTTTTCCATTTTTTGCACAGATAGAGTGGGAGGGAGAGAGAGGAAGAGAGAGAGAGAGAAACATCGATGTGAAGGGACACATCGAGTGGCTGCCACCCGCACGACCAACCAGGGCCGGGGACAAACTGCAACCGAGGTACATGCCCTTAGCGGGAACTGAACCCTGGTCTCTCCGGACCGCAGCAGGCCGATGCTCTAACCGCTGAGCCAAACTGGCCAGGGCAAGACTGAATTTTTTTTTAAAGGAAGTTCAATGTTGCCTTTTTAAGAAGAAGAAGGCAAAAAAACCCAGATGGGGGCTTGTTTGGATTCTAGTTTGGCTACAAATGGACTAGTGTAGTTGCAAAACAGTTTGATAATTGCAGTATTGTTGCCTCACTGTGGATGATTTCAACACTAAGGAGAAATTTACCCAAACTAGTTTGTATGAAATACAGCCTCTGAGGAGACCTGTGCAAAGCAGGAACCATTTCAAATATTGACCTGGAAGTGTGTGCTCACAAGAACACAGCAGTTTACTGTGTCATACATCTATCCCTAAGCCCAATCTAGAAAAAACAGGCCATTTCTTTGGAAAAATCAACTTGCACTTCTAGAACAGAGGGAGACCAGTATTAATTTTTCTTCCATCAACTTGATCATTTTTTTTTTCCACACAACACAGATAGAGCCAGGGTTGAGAAATAGAAGAAAGAATTTGAATAGGTTGTATGTTTTAAAGAAATGAAATGTTATGCCCATTTAGACACTATCAAAAAAGTATTGGGTGGAATCAATTTCTACAATTGTTTTCCTGATCATGTGCAAGACTCTTGCCTCCCAAAGGAACATATATATTTTATAACTACCACCAAATGATCCTTTCCAGAAATGACCACAGGTAACATCTGGCTGATATATAAAATATGTAGTAAAAATAATCATTTTTAATTAACTAAAACCTGCTCAGGAGAGAGAGTCAGAGGAATAGCCATCTGGTCAATTCTTATTTAATAGGGCAAATGAGGCTTGGAGTTTAATGCAATATATGTGAAATACTTAGTGACCTAACGATGAACTAAAACTTTTTTAGGAAGAACAGAGGTGAGGAGGAAGAATCAGGATATCTAGAAAGAACAGACAAAGTTTGATTTTTTTATTTTAAGAAGTATATCTTGTGCTGTAAAATGTAGGTAGAATAGAAGAAGCCTAGGTTTTGAGGGATTATTTTCTATGGTTCAATGACAAGTAATGAGTTTCAATTTATTTGAGCAGTAAAATGAGGTTGTACTTTATTTTGGAGTTTGGCAAGGATGATGAAGAGTTTTCCAAAGTCATTATAAATAAAGGTAAAAAGACCTGGGAGTAAATGGAAGGATACTTGGTGTCGAATGGTCTCAGGAAAGGGTTCTTCTATATTAGACCTTAATAACCAAGAATTCTGTATTTTCTCTGTAGAAGAAGAAATGAGTTTATGCTACATGTGAAGTTAGTTTAGTTCTAGGGAAGGATTTCTTAAATGCTCTGAAATGTGTTACTAAGAAGGCACATTTACTATTCTCTTCTCTGAAGTAAATTCTCCTTTGTTTGGAGTGGTTATTGTGATGCCAAAGAAAGCAGCTCCCTAACCACATTCCCAAACTAGAGTACATCGGAAATATGGGAAGCGTTTATAAAACGCGCAATTCTGGCCCCAGCTCCAGAGTTTCCATTTCAGTAAATAGGCTATGGGGCCCCCGAATTTGCATTTCCAACAAGTTCCCGAATTTGCATTTCCAACAAGTTCCTGGTGGTGTTACTGCTATGACCGGGGAACCACAGTTTGAGAACCACTGAGCTAGAAAGCCTGTGCTCAACACCTAGATTTCATAGTAAATGCATCTTTCAGTAGTAAAACCCATCAGCTGCA